TATCTGTTAAAAATCCCCACCCTACCAAAACAAGACACACTGTTGCATAATGCTCTCCCAGTGGGGAGTGTGTGGGAGACAAACCTATGACAAATGTGTAGCCACATTGCTGAATGCGTTTACTGGAAGGGTTTCAGCTACTCCCTGTTAAATCACTTTTCCTCTTCTCTGGGAGAGGCTGAAACATGCTCTAGTAGGCGTGAGCTGTCTGGAAGAACAGTGAGGAAATATAGACAAACTATCAGATGAGGGCAGCTAAAAGGAGAATGACTGACTTAAAATCAGTGCAACAGTGCTTTTGTTAGAATTTGAGTCAGAACCATTATCATAATCTTGTCTCACTTCTCATGTAACAAGCCAAAGAACGTCAACAAGTGATTCTCTAGTATCAGAAATCTTGCTATGTAAGCACTTGCACACTGATCTGGTCACTTTTTTCCTTCCCTTTGGAAAGCTAAACAAATGGAGCTGCTTAAATCTTTCATTCTCAGGTACGTTTCTAGACTTCAAATCATTCTTGTGGCTTTTCTCTTTAAATTTTTTCCCATGTCTCCACATTCTTTTTAGAATGCGGACACACAACTGGGTGCTGTATCCGATAGGTGTCACCAACACTGTTTATAGTAGTAATGCTACCTCTCTACCTTTACTTGACATTCCTGTTTTTATATCCAAACTTCACATTTGCTGTCTTAGAAGCATCACATTACGCTCTGTGGAGTTTGCTTTCCACCATAACTCCTTAATCCTTTCTAGAGATGCTGCTTTCCAGGATACATTACTCTATCTTGTCCTCATTCTTTGTTTGTAAATGTACAACCCTGCTTTCTATTTGTGACCTGTTGTACTCCTTATTTATCACCCTACCAGTCTCTTCATCATCTGCAAACTTCATTAGCAATGGTTTTGTATCTTATTTCAATTCATTCATAAAAATCATGAATAGTGTTGGGCTAAGAGCTGATCCCTGCTGATTTAAATTGATTTTATATCATATTAATGTTTTAATAAGAATATTGGGAAGTATTCAGACTCCTTACAGAACTCCAAATATATGATGTCCATAATTACCTTTATCAACCAAACGTGTGATTTCATCAAAGAACGTTAGGTTTGGCACTTTTTCCCATAAAACCATATTGCTTAATATTATGTTTCATATTAGCTATTCTTTTATTTCTCTTTCTTTAGTCTATAATTACCGGAGTTATCCTGTTTTCTTCTTCTTTTTTTAATACTAAAATAACATCAGCTTCTTTTCAGCCTTCTGGAACTTCCCCATTATTCCAAAATGTATGAAATATTAACAAACTGTCCAGAAAGGTTGTTGGCTAATTTTTAAAACTCTTTTTAATGTGACTTGTTTGGACTCGCTGTTTTTTTTGTTTTAATTAACTTCAGTTAATACCATTTAACATGCTCCTTAATTACTGTTGAAATAGAAAGTATTTCTTCATTACTGATGATGTGAAAACCTAATCCAATGGCAAAAAAGGCAAATGTCATTCTGGAATGTATTAACAGGAATGGCATATGTAAGACACAGGAAGTAATTATTTTATTCTCCTTGGCACTGGTAAGACTTTAGCTGGAGTACTATGTTCAGTTTTGGATGCCACACTTTCAGAAAGATGTGAATGAATTAGAATCCAAAGGAGAGCAACAAAAATAAATAGTTTAGAAAATATGAGGAAAGATTCAAGTCTAGAGAAGAGAAGACTCAAGGTGGCACACAAATCTTCAAATATGTAGAAAGTTGTTAAGAGCATGGAGATCAGTAGTTCTCCATATCCACTGATGGTTGGACAAGAAATTCTCAACTTAATTTGCAGCAAGGGAAATTTAGGCTGGACAGTAGGAAAAACTTGCTAACTCTAAGGAGTTAAGTCTCAGAGAGAGAACCATGTTAGTCTATAAATGCAAAATCAACAAGGAGTCCTCTGGCATCTTAGAAACTAACAGATTACCCATGAAAGCTTATACCCTAATAAATCCGTTAATCTCCAAGGTGCTACAGGACTCTTCATTGTTTTTGAAGGAGTTAAGCTACATAGAGGGGATATGGAATCCTCATCATTGGAAGTTTTAAAGAGCAAGTTAGACAAATACCTGTCAGGGATGATCTAGGTTTGCTTAATCTAATCTCCAGGGGTAGCAGGGGGGGAGAGAAATGGACAAGATGGCTTCTAGAGGCCTACTAGTCTTGCCTTTCCATGATTGTTTTCAAATGCAGAATGAATATGTGTATTTGACAATTGTCATAATCACTTGTGCCTAAGCGGCTATTTTAAATAGACCGATGGGAATACTTCCTATTGCAGTAAGCAGTTCCTCACTGGCAGAGGACAGGGAGGAAATGAAATATATAAAAGTTGTATCTATTTTTTTTTTCCTGCTTTGATGCCAGTTAGGAATGATTCCAAACCGCAGTGCAGAAAGATAATACAAAGGGTGCTGCTGTTATTAAACATAGGGTAGAAGAATGTAGTTAGCTGTTGGGAGGGGGAGAATAATTGGAAGCTCATGCAGGCAGTGGGAGGGAGACCTATTGGAGCAGCAATACTGAAATAAAGCTTGTGGACCCACACTACCTGAGCAAGTTGCCTCTATGGTCGGGACTTGTTTAAATTGAGCCTTAAACCCCAAGATCAATATAAACGTTACCATGGTTTTTAAAAAAGTTCAATGGGAACAATATTTTACAATTTTCACCTGCTGTGCTAGCACCCGAATGCACCTAGCAGCATTAGCCAGCACCTCAGACCCTGAAAGTGAAATTGACTAATTGAGTTCATCACCTGATCAGAAACAGTGCAAAAAGTGATTGCAGAACCTAAAGAGTGGGAAAGTAAATCAGATTGATATTTTCTTTTGGCAATCTCTGTTTGTAGTGGATATAAGGACACTTGTTTTTAATTGATTTATAGAATGGTGCCTGCTTAAGAGATGAAGATAAACATCAAAGTAGAGATGAGTTTGCAATGTGATATGCTGGAAGAGAAGCCAGTTTAATTGTGCCTACAAAGAGAATTCATGTTAGGGACAAGGGAGGTGGTTGGTTCCTCTTTGTGCCTGGTGAGACTGCAGCATTCAGCCGTGGGCACCTGAAGAGGGCGATAGAACAAAGACAACAAATTGTAAAGAATTTCATTCAGAGAAACACAACTGACTGAGGGCTGGAGGGGATGATTCATAAGGGACAGCCGAGTATTTGGAATGTGCAGGAGGGTGTATTGTTATCCATTCCAGCTGTTCCTCCCCCATAGTTCACTAGGGACAAGAGGATGAGAATGGCAGTTAGGGGGAATAGCTGGAGAAGTGTTGATTGTGAAACAGTCTCCTATGAGAAGTGGTGGTGATTAGAAAATCGCAGGTGAGACCAAGTGTCTCCACTGGGCCAGTCCTGTTCCGAAACAGGAGTATTGAAAGGTATTTTCCATTTCCAGTGTTTTAATATCAATGGACAAGAAGCAGTAGGTAGATTTAGAACCTAGGGTATGATAGTTTTTAACTCGGTGTGTACACACATGTACACACTGACAAGTTGGACCATTTTCCAATAGCCTATGCAAGATGGTTCCCAAAGCATAGGGAAGATATTGGATAGCTTAAAAACAGAGAATATAAATGATCATTTGGAGGGCTAGCTGGGCACTTCTGCTCTAGAAAGTAACCTTGCGCCAGTGTTTGCTGGCTCTCCCGAATCTGATGCAGCAAGAGGGACTCCAGTGCTAGCATCTTGCCTCTGCTGCTAATTCATTGTGTGGCCAAATCTGTAAAGCTCCAATTCAGTCTGTCTTCCCAAGGCTGTAAGCATGGAAAATATGTTATCTAAACAGACTTTCTCTAGTCACCATTTCTAAGTGGGAATAACACCTCTTTGTGCACACAGGGCAGTGAGGCAGAAATTGCTAATACTTGTGCAGTGCTTTGGAGGAAGAGTGATCCTGTTGGTGCTAATCGCAAGGGTCAAAACCCACCAGGGTAGGCTTACTGGTTTTATCCTTCTACGGAAGATAAGTAGGATTTGCTACAATCTGTCTCTTCTGGATTGACCTCACAAACCAAGGCCTGCCTGCTTTCTGTGGACATTAAAGCTACCAGAGGATTGCCCTAGAACCTTCCAGCCAGAATTTCCCTGCTAAGGACAGACTTCAGTTACTTGGCATTTTATGCAAAATGAAGGACTTAACTAAATCTTCTTCCCTTGCATTTCTGATCTCCTTTGCTAGTTTGAGTTGGCAACTTGAGAGCTAGAGAGCAGTCAGCAATCCACAGGGAAGACCTGGCTGCTCTCTGGGCTGTGGGTGTCTGTTCTGTTACTAGCAGGTTTGGAAAGTAAGTCATGCAAGTGTCAGGAGGAGAAAAGGTGAGGAGTTCTGGCTGATGTCCCGGAGGCTGAATGAAACTGGCACAACAGGAGAAGCAGACTGGGGAAGGAATTTGACAGGAACCACCATTTGTAGCTTTTTGGTGTAATTGCTGTATTCTGTCCTTTTCTGTTTTTATCCCAGGATTGCGTCACATATACAGGGTGGGAGGAGGGGGCTGTGGTCTTCTCCCCACAAGTGAAATCAAAGCAGCAAAGTACCTGTACTCTGTCCAAAGATTTCCTTTGAGGTTTCTGCAGCACGGTTGGGCTGAGAAGCAGCCCATCTGGAATGGTGGTTTGGGAGAAGTGGTCGGGCTTGGTGCCTCCCTTCTTTAAAACTGTGTTTTAAAGGCAAGGAAACACAAGCTCTGCTAGCTGCATACCCCAAAAGTCACTGTGCACAGTCCCTACTCTTAGGCACTGCTGAAATAATACTGCAGAATGAGAGCTGTTTATAATTTGGGCAACTCCATTTTATAGTTTGTGAAACCTCTTTCTCTTGGGCTCATGTTCAGCAAAATGCCCTGATGGCCAGTTTTCAGCATCACTCAGTGGGGGTGGTTAATCTGCTGCTTGAAAAGATCTGCCTGGTGCAAGTACGAGCTCACCTTCTCTCCTTCCCTTGCAGGCTGCTGCATTATTTCCGAGGGCGGCACCATTTGGAGGAGATCATGTACAATGAGAACATGCGCCGCTCCCAGCTGCTCATGCTCTTTGACAAGTTTCGCAGTGTGCTGGTAGTGACCAACCATGAGGACCCAGTGATTTCAGTCTTTCAGTCCCTTTTGAAGTGAGTGGGTGGAGTATGGAGGGGGGAACTGCCACTGTTTTCAGCTCCCTCAGTCTTAGTATTGTTTCTATACATTTTAATAAAGAAGCAGGACAGCAGCAGCTGGAAGTTCTATTCCTGGCATTGTCCTCCTTAGGGAGGTAACCCTGATCTGCTTGTGGAAGGAGTGCTGCACCCAGCGGAAGCATGACAGCATGGATAGAGGTGCACATAAATGAAGCTGCTCTGTTCAGTCACTACCATCCAAGGCTCACCCCGAGCTGGGATTCCTTGCCTCCTGTGCAGCTGGTGTGAGGAGTTTGAAGAAGGGGTTTACAGGGATGTTGCTGAGTTAACAGCAGGCTTTGATGGGACACTGGTGCAGCAGAAGCATGTTACCTCTATTCAAGTAGCTGTGCTGCTGGGGCAGATGCTCTGTATTGCAGGGGGAGAGCCCCCAAGCAACAGTCACTATGTCCACATCAGCACTTAAGCCTGTGTAACTTACATCATTCAGAGGTGTATTTTTTCCCTACTTCATTATAATTTAAGTGCTAGTGTTTACAAGCCCCCCTCCTTGTACTTAAGTACATCTGTGAATCTGTCCTTTAGCTATTTCATGCTTTCCTGTGACTGCTTCACAGCAATGTTGATATCTCTAGGCTGTCTGTCCCTCAGCTCACTCAATGTGGAATGCAATGATATGGGCACCTGTGGTGCCACAGCTGGGTGAGTGTCCTTGTCTTCAAGGGGGATATCCCTCCCCACTTTCACCAACTGTGGACTTTCTTTCCACTAAGGATCCTGGGTGGCTGCTGGTTTAGCAGCTGCAAAAATCAGACCAGAGCATTCCTGGGTGGTGCAGCTGAGGACAATGGAGACTGAGTCAGGCTGTGCAGGCACTGGCAGTGTCAATGTATTTAGGAACCTAACCCCCATACTTGAAGGGACCTAGACCTGTGGAATCTCATCACTTTCACTTAGGGGGCACAAGCCCTGCCCCCAAAGCAAGTCCAGTGTTATTCAGAAACCCCCGAGGAACTCACCACTGCTAGGAGTGGGCCTGGCACTCCCAGGCATCCCACCTTACTCATCTCATTGTAACAAAGCACCTTTATTATTAAAACCAAATCCAAACCAGCATTTTACTGGGCCTGACAGTTAATGAAAGCACAGACCTTACCAGCACTCCAGTCTTGTTTGTCCTCATCCCTCTCACCCTCTACAGCACAGCACCATGCTCTCTCTCCACCTTCTTGTCTATAACACTCACACATTTGTTCCCTTGTATATAAAACCTCAGTGGTTTCTGTGCCCACTCTCCACCATAGTTGACCCCAATTCTGGCCGCAGTCACCACAGCCTGTTCTAATGCCTCTGAGCCAGGCTCCATCCAGATTGCTGGATCGTGAATCAGGTCCTTTTGGTCAAAGCTCTTGTTAATATCAAGTGCTTGACAGAGCTTGGATGGTCCATTGCACAGCTGCCAGTCCTTCAGGGGTTTGGCTGATCCTTTCCTGTGAGCACTTCGCAGCTGCCTCATTGTGTCCAGGCCCTGCAGCGGTTCCAAGGAACGGAGCAGGACTGCAGCTCCCGCCCCTGTGGAACAACAAGAACATGGGTTAGTTTAAGGTCCTTGCACCACTGGGTGGGCCATATTACTCTGTTCAGGGAGCTGACAGCAACATAGAATTCCAACCCTCAGAAAATCTACACAACTCTCTCTCTCTCTCCTTCCCCCGCCCCCCCCTCCGATTAACTGGTACACATAGGCCTGCAGCCACTTGTCCTTTGAGTCAGTCTGTCTAGGGTCCTGCTCTCCATTATTGCATGGCTCACGTACTAGTGTACTCATCCCCACTGCACCTTATTTTTTTCTTATGTGCATCGGTGTTGAGATGAGACACAGAGGTGATGGGCAACACGCCACTTTCACATTGGTGTACACAAAATTCACAAGGCAGGAGTGGGGGCAAGGGCTAAGTGTGGGAGGGGGCTCAGGCTCTGCATGAGACAGTGTGGGGTGCAGGAGGAGGTATAGGCTTTCAGTTGCAGAGTGCGCTCAAGGCTGGAGGGGACTCAAGGTAACCCAGAGAGGTGGGGCTCAGGCTTAGTGATGACTTTGTGCTGAGGCTAGCAGGTAGGAACTCCTCCCCACCAGCCCTTGCAGCTTTAGGGCCTGGGGAGTGATCTCTCCCTGCTGCAAGCCCTCAGCAGGGCTCAATGGGAAACTGTGCAGTTTAAGGGCAACTATGGCTCACACACCATGGCTGACTACCCCACCTCTGTCTGACCAGCCCAGCAAAGTGCACTGGGGAACCTGCACTCTAACCCTGGACCGTGGGCTGTAGTCCACCATGCTAGCTTAACGATATTTTAGTGAGCAGCAATGCAAGATGCATACAGGTCTACACCCTAGCAGTTAGCAAAAGGCTTTGAGGACTACAAACCTTTGCATAAGTGAACTGCTCTACAGTGACAATGATTTAGGGGATCTGTGTATAAGATGAAAACAGGAAATCACTCAAGTACTGTGCATATTTTAGGACAGGTCATCTGCAAATGCACAACCACAAACTTGTCTTAGCAACAAATTGACATTAAAATTGAGATCATTAATATATGAAGCTACAGAATAAGGACCCCTGATGACACTAGGGTTAGGAAATCAGTTATGAACCAAGTAGGCTTGGCCTTTATGTGAATATCTGCTCCATTTTGGGTAGGCTGCATTTACTGATTCTACCTTGGGGTTCCAGTTGCCTAATTTGTTGGCTAGTTATTGACTGTTGAGAACTTCCAGTTAGTCACTGATGAACTCTGAGCATTGAAAGGTTCTAGGCCCAGAACCAGGCACAAGAGAGTTCAGGTTAAGTTCAGCATCTGGCTGAGAACCTCTGTGCACAACAGCAACATACTGAGGGCAAAGCAAAGCTTTAAATACGGCTACTAGCTCAATTAGTAAAAGCACCAATGTTCTGACCCAGATGAGAAAGTAGCCATAATGTAAAACCTAGCTTCCAACACCATCCCTGACACATACCCACTCTCTACTCACGGAGCACTGAATGGTAGGAGACAAGGATGTTCCACATGGCTTCTCTGGCATGCCAAGCAGCTAAGATTTCAAAGTTTTACATGGTGATTGGGCCTGTTATAGCTCTGTAGGTTGTCATGATGAAGGCTCTAATTCTCCACATGACTTCTGCAGCCCCTATTTGGGTGCTGCCCTCCAGCCTGTGCTCTGCAAAAGGAAGGTGCAGAGAATTGTCTGATCCTCTGCCCTTTGCTAGTAAACCCGTAACACCCCTTGTACTACTGGCTATTCAAGGACTCTTCATCTCCAAAGCCAGTAATGCCAGCTCCACAAGAATCCTCTATCCACATACATACCCCCACCCACCAGCCTGACGTGTCTGGAGCTAGACAGGGCCTAGTCCTCAGTCTCAGCAACACCAGCCCCCTCCCAAGGCCCAGAACAGCCACAAATACAACACACCACTCTGATCCCTCATACAGCAACACTGGTGTAACAGTGTTACAGGAATAATGTCCCTCTCACTACCAACAACAGTTATGAGTGGTTCTCTTCCACCCAGGCACAGATCAAAGCTATGGAGCCTGGATCCAGTTGTCAAAAAGCAATTTCTCTCAAAACAAGATTAATTGCTCACAGTCCATTTATACCCCTCTCTTCCCAACCTGCATGCCCTCCCTTTTGACCTGTTGTTGCTACTACTACAGAACAGATGAACAGCCAGAAGACAGGTCAGATTCATGGCTTTGGCCTGATGAGTCACTCTGCACTAAACGAGTCAATAATATGTAGTTAAGGAAAGAAAGAAAAGAAAATGTTAAATTGCATTAGCAATCAATAATATGATGTAGTTAAGGAAAGAAAGAAAGAAAAGAAAATGTTAAATTGCATTAGCAAAGGCATATGTAAGTCATGGGAGAGGACAGTACTGCTCCACTTGGCACTGGATAGGCCACAGCTAAACTACTGTGTCCAGTTTTGGTCACCAATGTATAAAAAGGATGTAGAGAAACTGGAAAGGGTCTAGAAAGAGGCAAGCAGCAAAGATGATCAGAGGGATGGAATGCAAGCCACATGAGCCAAAGCTGAAGGAACTGGGGATGTTTAGTTTGGAAGAGATAAGGGAGGGAATGGGAGAGTTTATACTTGCAAATACTTGAAAGGCTGCCATAAAAAGGATGGAGAAAAGCCATTCTCTTGTCAGAGGCCATGATAAGAGGCAATGGGTTCAAACTACAGTTTTGATTCAAACTTGGAACAAACTTCCTAACTGTAACAGTGGGACGATGGAAAAGATTCCCAAGGGAGGTTGTGGAGTCATTCACTGGAGGTTTTCATGCGTCTTGGAGGGCTGAGACAGCAAAACCTGCATCTTGCAGGGGTTAGACTAGACCCTTGCAATATGGCACCTACAGCATGAATTTTTCACACTCTTCCTTGTTTCTCGTCTCCTTCATAGAGCACAAGTGTGACATGAGAAGCCATTGGGCCAGGTTCCCTGTTGCCCTGCACACTGCACAGAATAAGAGTGAACCCACTATCCTGTGGTGTCCAATCAGTGCTCTAGCGAACTAGCCGCACTCAAATGGCCAAATAGCCACGTGGCTGGTGGTAAGCATGTTGAACGCCACGGCACTATGCACTAGTGTGTATCATACACGGTGCAAAGCAAAAGATGGGCTCGGTGCTGTGTATAGAGTAGCTTCTGTACTTGGGGATTGCATCTCATGCCCTGCAGGGCAGGTTACAGGCTGACTCCTGCACCAGCCTCTGCAGAAAACAGAGCCAAAGGAAATAAATGTCACGGCCCAGGAGAAAGATGCATGTTTAGGGCAGAGTCCTGGCATGGAGAATGGCACCCTAGCCCTGCACCACAAGCAGGCTTTGACAGAAAAGCCAGCCTAAGTGGCCAGAGGAGCATCACAGCAGCACACAACCCCCCTTCAACATATAGATGTCAGGAGAGAGTGCTTCAAAACTCAAGTCATCTGGGGAACATGACCACTAATCCTTTGGAGTCTTAGTTCATTCGCAGGACATTCTGGGCCCTTTGCATCAAACACCGAAGGCTCAGCCAATGGCAGGCAAACTCCTGCAGAAGGGGTCAAATGGCAACAGGCCACCTCCACCCTTCTTGCGGATCTCCAGGTCCTGGGCAAATGAGAACTGTATCCCAGTCTTCACTACACCAGGGGCTGCTTTCCTGGTAATGCAGCAAGCTCTCACCCCAAGCGCATTTACTTCCCCTCAACAAATAAACTCTTTGAGGCTCATTTCAGCCTCTTCCTGGTCATGCAGCATGCTCTCACCCCAAGCGTATTTACTTCCCCTCAACAGATAAACTCTTTGAGGCTCATTTCAGCCTGATGCTGTGCCTGCCAGAGAGCCGGACCTCCCCTCTTTAGCCCCATGGCCACCTCAGGCCATAGCATCCTAGAGCCCTGGCTCAGCAGCTGATTCTGGTATTCCCTTGGCATCCATTTGTAGAATAAGAATGACCGCTGCGGGTCAGACCAATGGTCCCTCAAGCCCTGTATCCTGTCTTCTGACAGTGGCTGGTGCCAGATCGTCAGAGGAATGAACAGAACAGAGCAATTATGGAGTGATTCATCCAGTCCCAGCTTCTGGCCGTCAGCGGGCTAAGGACATCTAGAGCATGGTTTGCATCTCTGACCATCTTGGTCAGTAGCTATTGATGGACATGAACTTATCTAATTCTTTTTTAGCCCATTTATGCTTTTAGCCTCCAGAGCATCTCTGGCAATGAGTTCCACAAGTTGCCTGTGTGTTGTATGAAGAACTTCCTCATGTTTATTTTAAATCTGCTGCCTATTAATTTCATTGGGTGATCCCTGGTACTTATATTACATGAAGGTGTAGATAATATTTCCTATGTACTTTGTCCACACCATTCATGGTTTTACAGATCTCTATCATATCTCCCCCCCTCCCCCCTTCCCAAGCTGAACAATCTCAGATTTTTTAATCTTGCTTTATATGGAAACTGTTCCTGACCCCTAATTACTTGTGTTGCCCTTCTCTGTACTTTGTGCAAGTCTAATATGTCTGTTTTGAGCAAGGGCAACCAGAACTGCATTGTTCAAGGGATGGGCGCACCATGGATTTCCACAGAATGAAAGCAGGCCGTCTGCGTCGTATGCTCATCAGTGGTGCAGGCCAGTGGAGCTCCCTCCAGTACAGAGATGATAGCTATCAGGGATGTGAAAGGCTAACCAGTCAGCATCACCTTTAACAGGTGCTGCTTACTGGTTACAGTTAACTAGAGGGGGCTGAAGCAGCCTGCCACCTCACAGGGTCTGCCATGGTTTCAGGGCACGCCTCAGGCAGAGGTGCTCCATAATGTTTAACTGGTTAACTAAACAAACAGGATTTTACAACCCTACTAGTTAGTTACATCACATGCCTAAACAAAAAGCTCAACCCTCAACATGGAGTAGAAGTAGAGGTGGGGAACCTAAGGCCTGGGGACCAGATGCAGTCCCCAGCTTGCCTGGATCCAGCACCCAAGGCTCAGCATTGGGGAGGCCACAGTGGCATTCCAGCCCCCACCATCCCACTGCAGGGCTGGAGCACACAAAATCTGGCCTGGGCTGCCCTAGGCTCTAGTGTGGGAGGCAATGTGAGGAGTGTCTCTCTCAGTTCGGGGCCATGTCAGTGAGGTGTTTTGGTTTTTTGGGTTTTTTTGCTTCTCACTTGTGTGTGGCCCTAACTGATTTTTCTGAGAGTCAGTGGCCCCCGACCCAAGAAAGGTTCCCTGGCCCTGGAGTAGAGTCACACACCTGGAAGCCCAGAGCACTGAAGATGCCAATTCTCTTTCTGAATAGCAGGACACCAGGAAGCTGTAGCGCAGGCCAACACACCCATCTAACTGCTCTTTCCTGGGAACAGCTCCAGTTCCCATTTGTGGAAACAGCTTTTGGCTGCTGGAGAGAATAATACGCACTTTCCCCAATGATACCCTGACTCACCGCTCCCAAACCGTCTTTTTCTATGTACTGTCTGTGATACAAAAGCTACAGGGGAATGCATGCATAGCGACATACAACCGCTGGGAAGGGAAAATATCGGTGCCCTGGATTTTATCAGCATATTCATCCAGATCTGGCAGCAGGGCAGCTACACAGGCAAATTCAGGAAAAACTAGATGGAGGAACCAAGGAAAGCTGAATGTAGCATCTAGATAATGCCGAGCAGACAAGAGCTCAGCGTAACTCTTCTGGGCACAGGGAAGGCTGTTTGTGTTAGGATTATTTTGCTGTTGCCAGGGTATATTGTAGACTCATGTATGTCAACAGACATCTGTCAGATTTTTCAATAAACTTCCTCCCACTCCCTGCCTACAATTTCCCCAGCAGCAGTTGTGTCCCCTCTGTATCATTACAAACAGTAACTGGTTCCTGGGGGCTCCATCAGTTGCTGGAATCCAGCCCAGCAATGTGCAAACCATAAAACTGGTAAAGCTCCATATGGAGCAAAGTTAGGTTGGTTAAGTCTGCAGTGGCTTTTATTCTCTCATCAGAGTGACAGAGAATCTGCAAATCCCCGATGGCTCATTATGTTTTATGAATCTAAAGATATAATCAAGATATACAAAAGCAATGAAATTTGAACTCATCCGAACAAAGCCTTTGGCAGTTCCAGCATCCTATATTGTGATTCTTGTTCCAAGGGACAAACTGGCAAAGCATCAAAGAATCCAAGGCTGCCACTCACACGCTTACAAAGCTTGTCTCCAGCCTCTCACTAGCCCGAGCAGCCATCACCAGCATGCTGCTTCTGAGTGCACAGAGAACACTGAGACCATCAAAACACCAGCAAGCTGGAGGTACTGTGCAAACTCATGAGTTATGGGGATGAATGCACAACCGCCATTTGAGTGACTACTGTACCTCAGAGGAAAGGGATGAGACACTTCCACTGAAGGCATTTAAGCTCCATAACTCTCCACACAAATTTTATATAATTCTGTTAGACCAGGAAAAAACAAATCAGATCCCATTGGAAACTTGGGACCTTCCTGGATCATTCAGAAAGCGATTGTGTTCAATGCTCTCCTGTCTTCGTCCATTTCTGAAGTTACTGCAACTAAGTGCTGGAAGAGAACTTTGTTGGTTCAACTGTACTGCTATAAAATATTATAGGCATAATGGTAAACTACACCAGCAAAATGCTCCAACATGCAGTGCTTCTGCAAGTGCAGCTCAGTACAGCCTCATCCCAACTGCCCGAGCAAAACAAGCTAGACCAGTAAAAGAGCCATTTTGCTGGTATAATTGTCCACACCAGGGATTTGCAGGCACAGCTTTGTTGGCTGGGGAGGTGATCCCTGGCCAACAGAACTGCACCAGCAGTAGTCCTGACATTAAAAACCATTACAGTGACTTCTACAAGGATACCTAATTTTCACAGAACCATAGAAATAGAGGGAAGGATTCTCAAGAGATCCTTCTGTGCTGAATCAAGACCCAGTGGACCTAGACCATCTCTGACAGGTGTTCATCCAATCTGTTCTTCAAAACCTCTAAGGACGGGGATTCCTCAGCCTCCACTTGGCAACCCATTGTGCTTAATAGTCCTTAGAACTAGAAAGGTTTTCCTCCTATCTAACTTGAATCTCCCTTACTGCCGATAAAGACAATTACTTCTTTTCCTTCCTAGGTGGACAGCATTTAACATATTTGAAGACTTATCAGCTCCCCCCCATAACTAAACATGACCAGTTTTTTTTAAACTTTTCCGCATTAGTGGCTCTTCTTCAGACTCTCCAGTTTGTTCACATCCTTCCTAAAGTGCGGCGCCCAGATTTGGACACAGTACTCCAGCGGAGGCGGCCTCACAGCACTGCTGAATAGAGTGGGACTATTACCTCCCATGTCTTACACGTGGTATTCCTTCTTGCTCATATGTTCCATGCTGGTATTAGCCTTATTTGCAACTGCATCAAATTGCTGGGTCATATCCAATTTGTCCCCCCACATCCTCTTCAGCAGTACTGTCACCTCACTGCTTTTTCCCTATTTTCAAGCTGTGTGTTAGAGTTTTCCCCACCTCTGTGTGTCCTATACGGATGGGGCTTTGAGGAAACAGGTAACAAAGGATCGCCGCAGCACCTTGCCCAACAAAGCTTCACCCCATTCTCATTATTTGGTTAAATAAATCACCCCAAAAAGAAATAGTTGTCTCAGAGGGGCAGCTGTGTTAGTCTGTAACTTTAAAAACAATGAGCAGTCCTGTGGCATCTTAGAGAATAACCAAAATACACACAGTATAGCGTAAGTGCAGTGTTCAAGGGCAGATCAGGCCCGAGAGGCTGTGAAATGGTGACATCCCTAAGGCAGATGAGTTCAGGTTGTGTGTGAAGCAGCAACTTGACTGGCTGTTTCCCTCCTGGCTTCTGTGCACAGGAGAATGGGAATAGAACAGGCAGGACTGGTATGCTGCAAGTCTTAACTGCACCTTACGTTCCTTTGCAAGCAAGTTCCATATTGTGTTTCCAGTTAGAGAAAGAATTTGTTTCTGTATTGCCCAGCTCCCTGCCCCACTTCCCTATCAGTTCAGCTTCCCATGACTCTCTGCAGTTAGAGATTAGGTCATTCCAATGGTAGTGAGTCACGCCATGTCAGACACAACAAAATCACTGTATGATCATTTCATGAGGTCAATAAGTTGCACTGAAAAGTTTGCTCTCTGTTTCACTTCCCTTACAGAGTCTTGATTAAGTCAGAGACTTCAACTTTCAAAAACTCCCATACAGCGCAAGTGGGCTTGCTTTGTGATTGTTTCATTTCAAATGGAGATACTGCATTCTCATCAGCAGTAACCACAGAGTTGGCTGAGAGATTCCAGAGGAGTTTTCTGAAGAAACTATGACAGCCATCCTCTCTGCACAGTGTAGGTAGGAAAGCCCCAACTCTTTAAGAGTCTTGAGTTCACTGCAGTTGGTTATAGAGGCCTGAAATTTTAAAAATCTCCAAGAGGAGCAGAAGGTGTAAATCCTTGCCAGAAAGAACAGAGGAACCAAAATGGGAAGGAAAATCCAAGCAGGGTCATTCCTCTCCTAATTCAAAAATTGACCCACAAAATCCTCCAGTGCCACAGACACTGCTGAAAAACACTCCAATAGATACACTCTGTTATACTTAGTTTTGGAACAAGTACATGCAGCGATGAGAAAATCTGCACTGTGATTCTGCACTGTAATTCCAACACCACAAACTGGTTTGAGCACTCTCCATCTTGGAAACTGCAGGCAGAAAACTTGCCTCTTTTTCCCCCAGTTGCTCCCATTCCGTATGACGAAGACAGGTTCTTCTCTCATGTCTTCAGTGTTTGAGAATCCTGCATGCATTTTGGAAAGAGAAGAAAACCCCAAGAAAACAGAGACAATCCATACTGGTGCTGATATATAAACAAAAAGGTGACCTGCACAACTGTGCAAAGTACCAAGGAATTAATCTTCTGTCCCATTGCATGAGAGTGTTAGTCACATTCACTGAATAACAGAGTCCATTTGAAGAAGGGAATGGTTTGGTTTTAGAATAGGAAGCGGGAGGACAAATGGTATGTTTACCTCTATGCAGTGGACTGAAAAGTAGTTAAAGGGAAATGCTGAGCATGGGTGGGTTTTCCTTAATTTGGAGAAAACAAAGTACCTAGGATATTACAGGGATCTATGGTACTCTATGGAGTACTGGAGAGCCCTCTCTAAATGGTGATGGGCTGGTGTGACAGTTCCATGACAAAAATGCAGCCATCTTTCAGTGTAGCAGAGAATTTTCAGGTGAAGGTTGGGCTCCACCAGGGATCTCACTTAGTTCTCTACTATTCATAATTGTGATGGATTTTATAGGTAAGCACATCCAAATGGAAGCTGGTAAGGAGTTGATAATATCCACAGGTGATATTGTGTTGCTGGCTGATAGTGAGGAAGATTTGGTCCAGACAACTGATGCCTGAAACAAAGAACTAACAAACTATGCCTTAAAAACGGGTAAAAGAAAAAAAATTGCAGTCATGTGGGTGGCTCACTTGAAACCAAGCAGGATCAATATCATGATCAAAGGACAGTGTTTAAGTCAGATTTCTGCATTAAATATGTTAAGTGCTAGTTAGTGGCAGCTGCAGAAATCAACAGAGAACCATAAGCAAGACTGTTGAGCACAGGGGAAGGATGGTGACAGATAGCTAGTGATTTATGATAACTCAGTGACCAGACTACTTAAGGGACAAAGTCTCAGAAGGGTAGCCAGGTTAGTCTGTAACTAAAAAAACAACAAATGGTTCCATAGCACCGTAGAGACTAACATAAAAAACAGATAGTATCATGAGCATTCATAGGCACAACCCACTTCTTCAGGTGAAAAAAACAGATAGTATCATGAGCTTTCATAGCCACTTCTTCAGGTGAATGGATCCAGAGAAAAAGCCATGTAGTACAATGTCACTCATCTCCTGAAATCCCCCTTCCCTTCTCACCCCACCTGATTCGCACATCCATCCAAACCCAGCTCTGTAAATACGTATGGGATGGTCCCAGTCACAAATCACTTTGGTTGAAAATATTCCAGCCCTTTTTCCACTGCACAAGGGACTAACAGGAAGGAAGCTCACTCCCTGAGGGTATGTCTACACAGCAGCTTTATTTTGGAATAATTGACATTAGTCTGAAATAGCAAGGAGTGTGTCTACACTGTCAGCTGTTATTTTGACTTAATGGTGAGCTGGAGGACTTCTTATTCCTACTCCTGTAACCCTCATTTCACGAGGAGTAAGAGAAGTCAAAGGAAGAGTGCTCTTTCTTCGACTTCCTGCTGTGTACACCACCAAAAGCTGAATTACGCTATTTCGACTTAAGCTATGCAACTGACATAGCTCAAGTTGTGTAGCTCAATTCAACTATTGCTCTGCTGTGTAGACATGCCCTTAGTGTCCTGCTCAGGCTGTGAGGCCAGCTGCTGGGCTCCTCATCTAGTGCTCCCAGCTGTGATCCCCCTAATGCTTCCTTTCTAAGTGCATAGTTTTGAAGATGTACAAACTTAACAGGAGACATGATGCATCAGAAATAATTCAGCTATGGACAGTGGAGGGAAAATAGCCCACTGAGACTCTTGCATACCAGAGGTGAGATTTCTCTACAAACAGCATTGAAGTGGTCAGTAAAAAGACCATGTCTGATGTGACATTTCACAGCTGGTTTTTGCCAAAGGAAAAATGTGTTTTACTTTAGATCCCAGGAATCATGTAATGTAATTTGCTGAGTTGGTATTGTTTCATTTAATATTTTAAAACAAACACTGCAATTATTCCACAGATCATATTTTGCAGATTGGGTTGTCAGTCCTCTCTGGTGTTTTAAAATATTAAATCAAACACTGCAATTATTCCACAGATCATATTTTGCAGATTGGGTTGTCAGTCCTCTCTGGGAACACAAGACAAACATTGAACATGATCATGAAAAAGCCGCACAAAGCTCACCAAAGAAATAGTGTAACTATATTGTTTATTCTGGTCTTCCACTGACCTACTGCCTGCTTTCCTAGTCATGCCTCTTAGCAGCTGCTTGGCTCCCAAACGAGCTTTGGCATAACACTAACAAAGACATGATGTTGAAACAGCTGAGTGGATTTAAGGTTCCTGACGTTTTTAGAACTCTCTTAGCAATGCTGCAATCCCACTAGAGCTGATTGTGACAGCCCTGAATGATCTTAGTTTCATTTGTATTATTTCAGCTCTCTCTCTGTCTCCAGAGACTATACTTATATGTAGTTTTACATGGAAGCAGAAGTCTGATTTGCTGTCTACATAGACATCCCTGAATTGGTCAATTCAAAAATTGCCTACTGTGTCAATGTCAAGAGCTTACAGTTCTGAATTGTTCAGGGATGGGAAAACCTTGAGCCCTGGTGGGCAAGTGCAGACTTCAGGGCAATCTTTTTGTATGAAAATTAGCTAAACCAAAATGCCTAACAACTTTGCTGGAAACTGTTAAGATGCTACAGCTGACCACCCAAAGGACTCTAATCAAGGCACACATACGCACCCTGCATGAGGATGTGACATCAGAAGATGCGTTAGGATAGTCACAGAGACACCACCTCCAGAAATCACAAAGATGAAATGGGGAGTTGGACTGAACAGCTGTTCTTTCAAAAAGACTCACTTCAGCATAAAGCAGGCTAGCTCACTGTTCTATTCCCAACTCGGCCACTAATCTACTGTGCAACCTGGGCAAGTTCCATCTCCTCTCTGCACCTGTTTCCCAGTCACACTTTATCGGTCTCATGTGTCTCTGGAGCGGGGAGAATCTCTGTGCCCAGCACAGTGGGGTCCTGCTGGTCACGGCACTCTGGTTGCTACTAGAATTCAAAGCATAACAAGAGTTCTTGCTATTATGGGAATTATTAGTATCATCCAATGTCATGCTCTATTGCTACAGTCCCCTAGTCATTCCATGCCAGTGGTCCCCAACATTTTGAAGAGCTCCTTGGGGCCAGGAATAGAGCTGTGGCTCAGGGGTGAGGGGAGCTTGGATGGGGTAAAGAGGCCAAGGCTGGGTCTGTAGCTGGGGCCACAGCTGGAGGTGATGCTGTGGCTGGAAGTGAGGCCAGGAATGGAGCCATGGCCAGCAGTTGAGGCTGGGGATAGGGCTGGGTGCAAAGCAGCAGCTGTGCCAGCAGCCAAGCACAGAGCTGCACCAAGGCTGGGCACAGGGCTAGAAGCTGGGAACACAGCAGAGCTGGAGGGAGGGGCTTGGTGGCAATGCCTTCCACTCGCTGGGGGTCTCACCCATGTCCTATGTGCCCTCCTAGGGGGACATCCCCACAGGTTGGGGACCTCTGCTGTATGCATTCAGATATCAGCTTCTATAAGCCCTGCTTGCCTTTGAAGAAGAAAAGGGCTGAATTCCCTGGAAATGTGCTCTGTAACGGGCTCATCTCACGAACCTGCTTTAATGGGACTTGGCGTCTGGAGTGCCAAACTGTGAACTCATGTGAATTCAGCTTTCTGCACAGCTGATTTAGAGCCTGCTTGCAGAGCCAGATCTACCTCATATGGGGATCATGTCAAATATAGTTTGGTCCCATCTTCCCAGGCAAGACCAACCTAGGAGTCAGCAACTGAAACATTATCAAGTTGTAGCATGCTTCTCCCACGCGGTAGGAGTTGGCAGTGTAGAAAGATCATACTTCATCTACTGCTCAGTGATGAATTATTGACCCACTGCTTTTTCTTTAGCGCATGGCCACAGTGAAGGTCACAGGAAAAACAGTACCAAGTCCTGGCATCTAGCCAAGAAATCCAATACAGGCAGTCCCCGGGTTACGTACAAGATAGGGACTATAGGTTTGTTCTTAAGTTGAATTTGTATGTAAGTCGGAACTGGCTCCAGATTCAGCCGCTGCTGCTGAAACTGACCAGAGGCTGACTACAGGAAGCTGGAGGCAGAATTGCTCTGCCCCCAGCTTCCTGGAATCAGCCACTGATCAGTTTCAACAGCGGCTGAATCTCGAGCCTGGGACAGAACAGCTGGGCTGCCAGGTAGGTCCCTGCAGGACCAACCCGGCAGCACCCCAGCTGCTCTACTCCAGGGTCCACAACAAAAGCCTGGTCTGCTGGGGGAGGGGGGTGCACACTAGCTGCGCCCTCCCCCCCGGCAGACCAGGGACACGGGGAGCAAAGCCGCAGCGGCGGCGGGGGGCCGCGCCTCTGAGGCTTTGCTCTAGCAAAGCCTCAGGAGGCGTGGGACCCCTCCTCCTCCCCGGCTTTGCTCCAGGTGTCCCTGGTCTGCTGGAGACGGTCCCCAGCAGACCAGAGGCACCGGGAGCAAAGCCGCAGCGGCGGCGGGGGGCCGCGCCTCTGAGGCTTTGCTCTAGCAAAGCCTCAGGAGGCGTGGGACCCCTCCTCCTCCCCGGCTTTGCTCCAGGTGTCCCTGGTCTGCTGGAGACGGTCCCCAGCAGACCAGGGGCACCCGGAGCAGCTTTTCTCGCCCCGGAGGTCGAGGGGACTGGACTGCTGCGCTCTGGGCGGTCCCGCTGCCTGCAAGCTCCGGGGCGAGAAAGCCCCGTTCGTAAGTGTGGATCCGCGTAACTCGGGGATTGCCTGTACATGTTCCCTGTGTCTTAGGAGGCAAGTAAGACCTTAGCAGGTAAGTAAAAGGGGATTTCCTCTGCCATGCTATGGCTGGCTGAAGGAGGAAAGGCCAGAATGTGAGAGAGACTGGATCCTTGCTGAAATTCAGGTCCTATCTACATAAGCAAATCAGCAACCAGCTTAGCACATTGATGTAGTAACACCTCGTGCAAGCCCCTACTGGCGTAGATGCACATGCCAATCCAAAATGGAGGTTCCTGTAACTGGAGATTCATTGGGATGTGTGGTCTCTAGTTGTATTCCATAGTTGAGTAACCATACAGACCATATACCTGAGATTAGAGATTTCTAATAAGTAGTGTCCACTGTTCTCATTGTGCAATGAACCAAGGGCATAAGGAGCAGTGCAGGCTCTCCAGTTCCTCTCTTACCACAAATCAGAAGAATTCAAAATCAGAAGGGATGGACAGCAAGTAGCGGAACATACATAGGGACCATACATCTCAAAAGAGCTTCTAGTTACAGATCAGCAACCTCCATTTCCTCTTGGAGTGCCAATCCTGGTAGGTGTTCCACATGTGGACAATTCATAAGCAGTGGTGGAGGTGGTGAGGATGCAGCTGGTTTAGATGCTTATAGTACTGCAGTCCCAGCAGCTGCATCTGCAGAGAAGGCTGGAATTGAAACAAATGTTTTCATGAATGTAGGGATGGAGCTTCAGGTAGCCACTCTCCAGACATTCGCTATTATAGGCACCAAGACTAGGGGTGCTACAGTCCCAGAAAAGGTGAGGATGGGATGGAGATGTGAAGAAGCAGGGATGTGATTCCGTGGGGGGAAGAGCAGAATGGGGGAAGGGCTATGGGGTTGAGCACCCATCCAGACAGAAGAAAGTTGGTGCCTGTGTTCATAATATCTCAGAGAAATGCTGTTGAAGTGGCTTGTGCTCTACAGGAATGGGCTTTCACTTTAGCCAGGGGAAGAATATGCACTAACTGGTAACACAAAACGGTGCAGCTGGAGATCTACATAGAGAATCTCAGAGCACAGCAGAGACCTGGTCATTGCAACCACTCCACTATAGCAACAATTAACTCCATTGATTTTCTATCCATTTTGTCTTTTGCAGGTAGAATGTCAGAGCTCATTTGACATCCAGATAGTGAAGTCTCCTCTCCTCACTGAAAGCAGGACGTGTTGGATAAATACAGGCAAGTTAACAGACTAATTTATGTGCAAGACAGAAGTTATGTTTAGCATGAATTTCAGGTGAAAAGAAACCTCCCTATAAAAAGCGTAAGACAATCAGCCATGAGTGCTCTCAGTTCACTCCCGGACCATAGTAACCATTCAGAATCTGGGTTTGCAAATAAAAATGTTTAAATGCCAAAGTTTCCAGCTTCTGTTTTTTGTGGGGACTAGGAAGCATAGGGAAAAAAGCTTCCCCTAGTGTTGTGGCCCCTCGGTAGAGAAGGAATCTGTCTCCTGCTGGAGAATCTTCTTGTGAAGAGGAGCAAAGGGTGTCTACAGTGGATGATTTCTAGTACTACTTGTCTGTTGTAACTGCCCTCCAGTTGCGTCTGAAGATTGTGAGGTAGTTACCAAAGATGGGGGGACAATAGTGCATTACACCAATAGGCATAGGCAGTGCTTGCTCATCTCATCAAAAATAACTCTAGATGGTGGTTGGGGTTGAGTAGTTGCAGTTCTGATAGAAGGAGCTGTGGATCTAGGCCTCTGCACCCTCTGATATTTGTTGTGTGTGCTGAGTGAGCATGAGGGCAGAATAGTAGAAGGAGCAATCTTGACTTGTATGCTTGTTTATGGTATTTGCTGTTCAGGGCTAGGATGTAAATGCAGGCAGCAGAGAACTGTTCTAGACTCTTTCAATGAGCATAGAGACTAGTCAGTTTTCTTGTTAAATAAATCAGATTAAGTCAGAAGTCTCTGAACCTTCCTGGGGAACCCCAAAGTGTGCAGCGAAGACTCACACCTCTTGATTATGACCGTGGCTACCCCCATTCCATGCAGTGTCAGCTGCATCCATTGCTGCTTGATGGAATGTTTTAGCCACCAATTTGCTTTAATCAATCATGGCCTGGAATTGGGCCCTGTCCCTTTAAGGCTTTTGTCCTTGAAGTCCAAGCTCTTCAAATAATTGTTGAACTCATATTTTGCTAAAATGGCTTGGTAGTTAATATGGACCTGAAGAAGAAAATGCCCTCCTAGGAAGGAAGGTAAGTTGTTTAGAGCCCTTGTCTGCCTTGGGATGCTGTAGTCTAGACCTTGCTTGTACTACCAGGGAGTTTGTGCTCAGTGTGTGAAGAACTCTGCTCTTTTGGCTGGTGCAAAATGGCACTTCTCAGCCTTCTCAGTGTGGGGTACAAGGCACCTCTTCTAGTGGAATCTAAAGGACATTTGCCCCTATACAGAAGCAAAAGTGGAGCCTTGGGATGCTGTAGTCTAGACCTTGCTTGTACTACCAGGGAGTTTGTGCTCAGTGTGTGAAGAACTCTGCTCTTTTGGCTGGTGCAAAATGGCACTTCTCAGCCTTCTCAGTGTGGGGTACAAGGCACCTCTAACATTAGAATCTAAAGGACATTTGCCCCTATACAGAAGCAAAGATGGGGCAATTGCCCCATCTGCTGAGAACGAAGAAACACCCATCTCTGTCTACAGTACCTTCAGTATTTTCTCCCTCATACTTTTATGGTGCTAACAGGTGTTGCATTGGCGAGGTTAGATGGGACTGATAGATGGAACTGGGATGTCTGCCATATGGAGCCCAACCATCCTATTAGGGCCAATTTGAAGGGTCAAATGGTTGAGGGGAACCTTCAATCCCTTGAATTAGGGATGTAATAGTGTAGCCGACTAACTGATTAACCAATAAGCAAAAACATTAACCTATAAGCTACAGACTACATGCATTTCCCTGCCCTGACCCCACCAGTCAATTTTTTTAGCAGGCTGGCCAGCAGACTGTCTCAGTCCTGGCTTGTGACGGGTCTGGGACCTACCCTTGCTGCAGCTCTGCATTTAAAGTTTATTAGGAGCCAGATGGGTAGGCAGCCCAGCTCAGCTGTCTCACACCAAGTCCAGGAGCTCAGATACTCTCTAGACAGGGGCTATTACCACTCTGCACTGCTGCTTCTATATCAGAGGCAGCAGCACAAGCCAGGCGACAGGCAGCCAGTCTGCAAGGGAACCCACCAGTCAATTTTTTTAGCAGGCTGGCCAGCAGACTGTCTCAGTCCTGGCTTGTGACGGGTCTGGGACCTACCCTTGCTGCAGCTCTGCATTTAAAGTTTATTAGGAGCCAGATGGGTGGGCAGCCCAGCTCAGCTGTCTCACACCAAGTCCAGGAGCTCAGATACTCTCTAGACAGGGGCTATTACCACTCTGCACTGCTGCTTCTATATCAGAGGCAGCAGCACAAGCCAGGCGACAGGCAGCCAGTCTGCAAGAGAAGCTGTTTTTTAAACCAACTCCCCTTGCGGACCAGCTCCCGCCTAGCACCCTGCACTGCTTCCTCTGATACAGAGACAGTAGTGTGGAGTGGCAGAGGGCTCCTTGGGAGTGAGACCAGAGTGCAATATCTGCCAGCTTCATCCCCTGGGGACTATAGAATGGTTGACTAACCAATAGGAATTCATGAGGTTAATCAACTATTCAATTAAATGATATTTAACATCCCTACCTTGAACAGTCATTTGTAGGTGGAAGACAGATTCCTGATATTCTTGCATCCCTCTCTGGAGTCACCACCTACGTAGGGGGGGAACTTTTGGGGGAAACCCTGAATGCTCCATAGGGAAAGTTGGTTCCAGCTGGTTCCATCAGTACCAATAGCTGAAAGTTTCAGCATATGGAATGAAGAAAGGAACTTTTCCCTTTTTTCTAGGTAGTTTCTTTTTCAATGTCACAATGTCTCTGGTCAGACAAAAAAGAAGAGGAGACTAAGCTGAAAATACTTTCTGGCAAGGTGCAAATTTCAGTTTGTCCTAGAGTCCACAGTATGCAACTAGAGAGACAGATCTTGTGCATCCTCTTTGTATGTATCATTTTTGTATTTCAAGTTACGAATATTGACCATCTGTATTTCAGTCATGCTTATTCTTTGAGATATGCATAACTAGACTTTCTAGCACAACAATGAAGGAGTCAAACAGCGCTGACAGACCATCAACAAAGATAATGGACTCTAGAAGACCTCAATCTTCTTGTGAATGTCCCACACAGTCTGTAAATAATGGCTGCTATGACTCAACAAAGTACACAAGGACATGTGACCAGGCCACATGATTCTGAACTCCATCTTGGAATGTCAGAGTGTTTCTCCACAAACTGAGTTTGGGACAAAGGGTTCCTGCAACATGTTAAAGCTATATAAGGGAAGAGGTGACATCATCTGTTGTTCTTCACTCCTGACACAAAAGGGCTCCTGAAAACAACCTGAGCCACATCTCCACTTGCCATGCCAGAAATCTATCTTCTAGCATTTGATTTAGTGGGTCTAGTAAAGCAGTAGCACAGAAGGGGGCAGACAGCTCCCCGCACACACTGGCTCCAATAGAGCTGCCTTCCTCCTCCTTCCCCCCCATGTAAATGTGTAACTGCTGAAAATTTCAGCAGTTACACGTTTACCCCCAAAATGCATGTTAATATCTTTACTATTAATCCATAAATATTGACCTGTAAGATATCAAATGAAAGCTGGTGACACACTGACTGTAAGTGATGAAAGCTCTACGTACAGATGGGGTATAAGTAGTTATGCGTACTTATTAAAATGTTTTAAATTATGTAAAAAGGCAAAGTTAGCAAACAGGTTTTCTGCAAAGCTATATTCATTCACCTATCCCTGCCTCTGATGTAAACTACGTATGGCAAGCCAAACACATAGGAGCTAAGTTGCATTCCAATTCAACATGCAGCTGAGAAATCACCTTGAGGGGCAGCATGCTGAAGAACAGACAGACAGCATTTCAAACCTTTACTGGCCTATAACTAGGAGACAAGACAAATATTTTGGTTGTCCCCTCACCAACAGAGCAAAAAGGACAGTGCCTTTTACATTCATAAATGGTGGATCCCAGTCACGTAGGTTGGGGACACTAGGTAGAAAGCTCAGATGAGACAATGCTTTAGACAAGGATTTTAGCCTGTCAAAGGTAAACAGGGTTCTAAGGACCATGTAACCATTTGTTTTCATTCTCTTTTCTTGATTACTCTTAAATCTTGATCTTTGATGATAAACTTACAACTGCTTCACTATAAATTCATCTCTGGGCTATGGTGTCATACAAAACCTGATCCTGAGCTGTTGCAATGAAGCCGTGTGTGTATATACCGTTGGGAATAGCAACTCTGGTAATTACTAACAGCATCCAGTGACAGGCTGGGCACTACCAGGGAACACTCAGAGCAGCTCAGGGACTGGGGTATACCCAGTGTTAACATGCAAGGCAAAGCAGGGGCTAGCAGAGCCCTGAGGAATTTTTTTGGGTGGCTAACAGACTGAGGGTGTCAGAAAGCTGACACCATATTTGCACAAGCAAGTTTCTCACACTGATGGGGGTTAACAGTGACTCACGATTCTAGGCACGCCAAGATAGATTCACAGCAGCTTCTGCACTCATGCTAGATGTCTGCTGCAGCACACTGATGTGTGTGCAGTTTCACGGGGACAGAGTTCCTACATGTAGATAGGTTCATGGAAGCTGCTACATAGGTAAGGCAACCAGTATCTACAGACTATTACCTGTTCTTTACATGCCCTGACAGGTAACTATCAGATGCTTCGCACACCCATCTCCTGATGCTCTCAGCTCCAATGGAAGAGCAGCTCACAAGGGGAAAATTTGTTTTTGCAAATCCCCCATAAGGCTACTGACAAGGACAAGTTTTTAATCTTAAAACAAAAACAAGTCAGTGAATATTTAAAAACAGACCACACACACAGAGATCAGCCCTTCTAATGAGCCTGAATACAGGTATGGAGGAAAAGCTGCGGACAGAACCCCCGCCCCCCCCTTTTTTTTTTCCATTTCAGAGAATCAATTTAAGCACCAAAGATTGTTGTTTTTTTTAAACAGAAGATGATTTACAATATCGCAAGTTGTATAAATCCCCTTCTGGCTGAGGAAGAGCTCTGCCTTTTATTATCTGGACAGACTCGACAGAGACATCTTAATGAAATTCACATGTGCTGGTCCTACTCAATCCAAAACTCCTCCATTCAGAAACACAAGATTCCTCCTGGAACAGTCATGGGAGATACACTAGTTCTTCCCTATGGTTTTAATCTGACACTGTCTTTCTGTCTGGCTGGGCTCCAAAGACTGACATTTGGAGATTCATGGTCACTTGTACTATGAACATTTGCTTCCTACTTTGGAAAATGCCAAGCAATTTTTTTAAAGCTCCTTTGCACAGAAGTAAAAACATTTAAAAATATCATCTGAAAGTTTCAAAAGAAAATAAACAGTTCCTCTAAGAATTGCCTATTACAATTTTAGGATGTCTTTAGTAACCCATAACTTTATTTCAAGCAAATTACCATTCTGGCAGGAAGTGAGAAAGTAGGACTGAAGGAAAATCTTTCTACACATCAACAAATAAGACAGTGGGAGCCTTGGAGGATATTTTCAGATAAGCGTCAATATAATTTGAAGTCCTTCACACCAACTGCAGTTTGAGCTCCGAGCTTCCTAATATCACCACAGTGTAAGGCCTTAATTTCAGTCACTCTGCAGTGATTCTTCCTAAATGAGCAGCTTTCAGATGGCTGATTAATTTTGTTGGGTATACATACATTGTTTATAAGACCAAGAGTTTAATTATCTTTAAAACAATGAAACAAGTTTGAAGTTTTTAAAAAAAAATAATGGAGTTTTCTTTTAAGAAAAATCAAGGCACGGACTCAGACATTTCA